CAGAGACAAGGTGTGACGTGGACGTGGACGTTGACGTGGACGGTTATCAAGCGGCGCTTTCCGTACGCCGCTCCTGTTGCGCCGCGAATTTCGTGACTGTTAATCGCGAGGCGGTTTACGCAGCGCCAACTACATCCGCCTGAAATCACCCTTCCCCGCAGCTGTTGCACTACTAACTGGACACATTATACATCAATGCGTAGGCAGTGTACTGCTTAGCACGCTCGAGCTGCAATCCATCGGTCGCTAGTTCGACCTCTCGGCGGGGCCGTTTAAACAATTGGAAGGTTCCTGAAGTGTGCGCCCCCCCCCCCCCCCACACCACAGGTCAGGGATGGGCAACCTTCGGCTGCTCCGAAGGCGCATGTGGCTGTTTAAGGACCGCTGTTTTCGTGGCGTTATTTATTAAGGGGCCACCACCGTCTCTATTCATCACCACTCAGTGCATTGTTGAAACATTTAGTTTATATTTTTGTAACCGAATTAGTTTTTTGTTAAAATTTCTCTTCTTGTTAGTTGCGTTGCCGAGCCTTGACCCAGGAGTTTAAACGAGTACCCCAGTTAGTCACGTGTGGTGGGGTATAGTGTCGGTGCAGACACCTCTTCCAAAACGTTCAGCCAGCGTGGAAGAGTCGACCCCATGTGCCACGGTTGACTACCTGAGATGACCAACAAAGATCCCCTATAGAGGCCTTAACAGGCTGTTGGGGCAAGTCCTGTTAGTGAGCACCTATAAAGGCCGGCACGGCGCACGAGTGAGTGGGTGGCCAGCACCATCCCCGGCCGCCTTTGTCTTCCTCAGTGACGATGTTTACGCACCGCAACAGGTACTAATTTGAGGCTGAGTCAACCTAGGGGAGGCCCATGACCGGTTCAGATAATCGTCACTGATGTTTACCGTGAACGGGAATCGAACTCGTGTCGCCGGGCTTCGTAGCGCAGCGCAGCGCTAACCGCTCTACAACTACGCTCCCCACACTCGCACATACGGACACACGCACACACGGACACACGCGCGCACACACGCGCGCACACACGCACACACGCACGCACATACGCACGCACACACGCACGCACACCGACCTGCTGCAGTCGCGAGACTCTCGAGGCGGGTGCCGCGGCACTATAGAGGAGAGATTTGCGACTCCACGCGGGGGCGCGGCAGCTGCCGCCGCCGCTGCTGGGGCGGCACGCGAGCGCGGCGCGCGTGCACGCGAGCGAGCGTCCATCGCACGCAACCCCCGCATCCACGACCTCCTCGCTCGTGCAACACCCCTCTATTTGTCAGCCTTATTTATTTATTTACGCTTCGCTTTTGTGTGCGTGTCGTGTGTGTGTCGTGTGTGCGCATGGTTCTCTGTGTGTGTGCGCATGCATGGACGTGTGCGCGCGCGTGCTGTGGGTGCGCGCGCGCGTGCTGTGCATGCGCCGAGCGGATGGGCGCGCGCGAACGCGCACGTGCGCGCGTTCAGGCGCGTCCGAAGCGTGGACCCTAATCGAGCATCAGCATCACCATCGTCATCAGCAGCACCACGATTCTCATCGTGATTATCAGCACCCTTTTCATCATCGACATCATCACGCTCGTATCGTCTTACTCGTTTTATTTTATCCGTGTTCTTGCATGCCCACTCAGCAATGGATTTGACCAAGCATCCCAATAATGAGTGTTATACAATTCATCACCAACCCACTTGCTGTACTACTTACCACATCCCAGCCACCTCGCAACCAAGCAAGCGGATTTTTCGAGTTGTGCAAATCCGTGCGTAATCCGCCAGGTCATCACGCCTGGCTCAATGAGACCCTCGTCTCTGTCATCTCTCACTTGGTTATAAAGTTATTCACGATATAATGCTTTACCCAGAAAAGCCTCGTTAAGTCTGACATTTATTTTTCAGAAGGGTCCCTGCTACCTTGGGAGGGGGCGGGTGGCGTTTGAACGATTCCGTGAGCGAGTGTTTGACTTCGTGAAGGGGGAAACCAGAGCGTCCAGAGAAACCACTCCGCAACGTGCGAGGGGGTGACACTTCAGCGCCGCACTCCCCCTCGCTGACAGCAACTGGCAAACCGTGGTGGTCACCCATCCAAGCACCAAACAGACTCAAACCTGCTTAACTTCCAAGATCTGACTAGATAGGACGAATTTAGATCTATGTGTGTGCATATATATGCAGGGCGCTTCAAAAAATATTTGTACACTTCTGAGAATTTGCTACAATACCACAATGAAGGCGCTCTAGAGATCACCCGGAGAAGATTCCAGGCCACGCGTTGACAATGTTGGTGAACACGTGGGAGACTCTTTTACTTTTTAAAGCTATTAACATTACATTTGCTATCACGTTACAGTGTCTTATTATCCGTTCTTTTTCCATTAAAAACGATAGTCCCATGTAAGTATTAATATTTTTTTAGTTTGTCTTTGTAGTGCACGCTGTGCTACGAACCCGGCTAACCGAGTTCGATCCCCGCTCACATCCAATTCCGGTGACGATTATCTGAACCGGTCATGGGCCTCCCCTAGGTCGACTCAACCTCAAGTGAGTACCTGGTGCGGTGTGTAAACATCGCCATTCGGAAGACAAAGGCGGCCGGACGTGGTTATGGCCACCCACCCCATCGTGTTCTGTGCCGGCCTTCGCTAACAACACTTGCCCCAAAAGTCTGTTAAGGCTATACGGGGGATATTTATCTTTTTCTCTTCACCTCACGAACCTCGATGCACGTGACCGAGTGACCCCCCCCCCCCCCCACTACTCATCCACGCCCATCATCCTCTGAGCACTGCAGCTCATTAACAAATCAAGGACCACGAGCCGACGTGGTTAGCTGGCTGGGTGAGCTAATTAGCCCTCTAGCTCAATACATTACATAAAACCGTGGGGGTTCAGTGCACAATTAACGACTGGTGACAATTTGCAGAGCCCAACCGTGACTTCAGCCCCCTCCCCCGATTTTAAAAGCCACGAGTCCCGCATCTGCTCCAACCCATAGCGTGCATACGCAAATGCCAGCTGAATGTTTACATCAGGAGTTTGTAGACCACGTGCGTAGTAAGCCACCCAGACCCCCCCTTCGGCTGTGTGTGGAGGGGGCCAGGACCTGTATGTATGGTGGAATTCTCTGGCACCCTACCTAGCTAAAAGTGCTCATCGGAGGTGATGGCCGTAGAGCAAAGCGGGCACGTGAACCCGCATGTGCAGACTTTCGTTATCTCCTCGAATGAGTGGTGGGCTTTCTCGGGGTGCTCCACTTCCCCCCACGTGAAGCCAACAAAAAAAATCATTCACGGAATTGGTCAAATGAACCAATGCACCACGATTTCGAATAAAACATAACGTCTTGGGACTCTGTGAGTATTTTCCCATGTAAATGAATAGTATTATTTAGATCCTTTTCTCAATATAATCCTGGACGAATGTCCCCTCCATACCGGGGCAGTCATGGGGGTTGTTTGACCATACTTCACCACAACAGTCAGTGTGAGTTGGTGACGAGTTGGAAAGGCGAGTAGCTGTTCAGGAGCTGTTCCTTGGGTAAATAAAACTCTTTGTTCTCACAAAGTGGAATGGTCAAAATTAACAAATTCAGTGCCATCCTGAAACCTTAATCAAACGTCGAGGCTTGGTAAGGCTTTCGGGGATTACATGAAGTTGACTTGTCTACTCGAAGCGTGTACGAAACAGCGACGTCTGCCTGTTTTGTCTGGTTCCCCATGCCTGCCCTTACCGCATACGCGTATCGTTTCAGCCACCCTCACCCCCCTCATGCCCCCCAATGGTTTGGGAAACACAATCCAGACGCGGCCAGGCTGAATTTTAATGACACATTGTATAACCACCGTGAGCAGAGGAGAATACACCTTCAGTGGAGTCAGACAGGACCGCTCCATTCACGGGGCTGGCAAACGGGATTATGAGTCGAGAGGCCCACGGATATACTGTACGCTGCAAAAAAAGACTTAATTTATTTGTGTGCGCGTGTCTGCGTGTGTCTGTGTGTGTGTGTACGGGGCTGTAGCGGTCAGCGCGCTGCGCTACGAACCCCGGCGGCCCGAGTTCGATTCCCGCTCACGCCCGCCAACACCAGTGACGATTATCTGAACCGGTCATGGGCCTCCCCTAGGTCGACTCAACCTCAAGTGAGTACCTGGTGCGGTGTGTAAACATCGCCATTCGGAAGACAAAGGCGGCCGGGCGTGGTGTTGGCCACCCTCCCCCTCGGCTGCCTTGCCGGTCTTCATAGGTGCTCGCTAACAGCACTTACCCCAATAGTCTGTGCAGGCTATACGGGGGATCTTTGTCCTTTTAAGGGGCTGGCTGCATGTCTGCTCTGGTGTTCCAGGTGGTGCAGATAACTAACTCCAGCCCTGCAGAATGCCGAATATATAACTGACGTTGACAAAAATTTCACGGAATGCGCCCGATCTCCTAAGATTAAAGCAGCGCTGAGCCCAGATAACGCTTGGATGGGCGACCAGCACGCATGTATTATGGGTTGCGGATTCACGGTGTGGACATGGACGTGGGGAGTTTGACAAATGCCATTGCTTTCCTCTAAGTACAGCTACGTAGGTCTACCCTCCACACCTTTTACCCAACCCGTGCTGAAAAGCGGCACGTACGTACGTACGTTGAACTTCTTTCGCCCCCTACGTATCCAACCGTGCTAATATCAGAGGTGCGGCTCGATGGAACCTCGTCAAGTAACTCCCCCCCCCACACACACACGGAGTCGCGGGGAATAGGGTGGGGGGGTAACCACATGAGAACAAAGAGCTGGAAAATGAGGGGTCTCATTAATCCCCTAGATTAACAAAAAGGTCCGTGCGTGTACCGTGCGCACACAGCGATGGGAAGGAGAATTGACCACCGTGGCTATTCACTCACCAACCGCGCCACCGCCCCCCCCCCCCGACTGACTGACAGCTGCACTTTGTGGCGAAGATGAGTGCGGGCCGCGCGCCAGCCACACAGATCACCGCAACTCAATACAGGAGGAGGGGGGCGAGGGGGGGGGCCCGCCCGATCTTCCTCTTCCATGCAACAACCTTTGTCATCTTGCACCACCACCACCACAACCACGCTCATTAGGACACCCAAAACCCGTGCCCCGTTGTCTTTGAAAACCTCTCGGAGAGCGCAAGACGCCCCGGGCTGGGAGGGCGACAGCTCTGTACCGCACCTCCGTAAACACCACTCGGGAAAGGAGTTTATCTCGTCGCTGACGAGTTGACCGCGTTAAAGAGAGAGAGAAAGAGAGAGGGAATCTTTCGCAGAATCTGCGCTCGAGTCAGTACGGCGGTGGAGAAGAGAGAGACGAGAGCGAGGAGAGACAGAGAGAGAGAGAAGCGCTTTCATGTAGGCGAGCGTCGTGAGAAGATGTGGCGTGCGTGGCATGAGGGATCAGGCGGACGACGCTCAAGGAGACACCACATGGAGGAGGCTGTGGGCATCTCCGTGGCAGTGCTGGCGCTGATCGTGGCTCACGGCGCGCTGGGCTGCAGTCCGCAGAGAGCAGGTGGGGTACCCACCACTGCCACCGCTACCACCGCCACCGCTGTACGCCACCACAATATCATCAACTCTATTGGCCTCCGCGTGCGTAATAAGGCGAGAGGTGGGGGGGGGGCTCATCCTTCCAGCTGTTGGTTATGCTGTGAGCAGCTCGCTAACAGCACTTGCTCCAAAAGTCTGTTACTGCTTTACGGGGGAGGGATGGGGTGGGGGGTCTTTGTGGACAGCGGTAGTGAGCGCACTGCGCTACGAACCCCAGCGATCCGAGTTCCATTCCAGCTCGCGTCCAATAACCAGTGGCGAATATTTGAACCGGTCCTAGCCCTCCGCTAGGTCGACTTAGCCTTAAATTAGGACCTGGTGCGGTGTGTAAACATTAGCACTGGGGAGACAAAGGCGGCCGAGGGAGGTGCCGATTAAGAAAGGGCCGTAGACATTGCATGACGCCAGTATCATCATTAGCAGCAGCAGCCATTATCAATCCACCGCTGGATGAAAGCCTTCCCAAAACCATCGCCACGTCTCACGTCCTGCGATACGATACAATCCAGTCGAGCACGAATACTTTACAGACAAATTCCTGATTTCGTCGCTCCATCTCCGCAGTGCGCGCTGGAGGGGTCAGTCGCCGGCATGCGTTGAGCGAATTATTGTTACGGCGCGCGCACTTTGATGCATGTCGCCTGTCCTCATCACGGCCCGCACAAAATAATGCAGTGGGGGGGGGGGGGGGGGGGTGGGGGAGGTTTCCCGGCGTAAATTATCGCAATGTGAATTGAGACGATTTCCTCTGAATGCGTTCGCTCATTGGGGCTTCTCGCTGAGAACCCCAAGGCGAAGCCCCCCGCCCCCCCCCCCCCCCCCCGCGTAAGAGAGGCGCTGCGTGCCCGTGCGCCAATTGCGCGCGCACCCAACCATCAGCATGGACGCAAACCCCGTTCTGGGGTTTCCACCTGCTCCGCATATGTGTGTTTTTTTGTTATGGGGAGCGGTAGCGTAGCTCTTAGCGTGCTGAGCCACGAACCCCAGCGACCCGAGTTCGATTATCGCTCACGGCCGACACCGGTGACGATTATATGAACCGGTCCTGGGCCTCCCCTAGGTCGACTCAGCCTCAAATGAGTGCCTTGGACGGTGTGTAAAACAATCGCCACTAGGGAGACGAAGGCGGTCGGGCGTAGTGCTGGTCACCCACCCCCTCGCGTGCCGTGCCGGCCTTCATAGATGCTCGCTAACAGCACTTGCCCCAACAATCTGTTACAGGCTACACGGGGGATCTTTGTCTTGTGTGCTTTAACAACCCCCTCCCCACCCTTTTGTCAATCTACTGCTGAATGAAGGAGCTGACGTACGCCGTGCAGGTCGTGGGGATTGTTTGAACCATACTTCACCACGCTGGTTGTCTTGTGGGCAGTTGGTCAAAACGTCGATGTGCATGCACGTGAGTGAGTGCGTGGATGTGGGGAGCGGTTAGCGCTACGCTGCGCCACGAACCCCGGCGACCCGAGTCCGATTCCCGCTCACGGCCACCAACACCAGTGACGATTATCTGAACTGGTGCTCGGCCTCCCCTAGGTCGACTCAGTCTTAAATGAGGAGCTGGTGCGGTGTGTAAACATCGTCACTGGGGTAACAAAGGCGGCCGGGCGTGGTGTTGGCCACCCACCCGCTTGTGTGCCGTGCCGGCCTTCATAGGTGCTACTCGCTAACATCACTTGCCCCAACAATCTGTTACAGGCTATATGGGTGATCTTTGTCTTTGTGCGCATAGACGTACAGGAGAAGGAAGGATTTTGCTGGTACCGCCCGCTATAGCGCACGGCCGCCTGATTATTTGTATGTACTATATGTATGATGAACTTCTTTCGCACCGTACGTATCCGACCGTGATAATTGGAGGTGCGGGGGAGAGGGAGAACAAATAAACTAAACACAAAAAGCAGTTATTAAGAAATTAGTTTTTAATCTGCTGTTCACCCATCCATTCACTCTGCACGCTCCACCTGGTTTGTTTGGATTTCGAGCTATGATGAGATTAGGGGGAATGACCGATTCATTATTTGGACATAGGCAGATACAAATATACTGCATAGTCAATGCCCACGATTATCCAACAAGCAACCTATATGGGTTGTTTTTGTTATAATGAAGAAACAGGCTGGCGACCTATTGGTCAGAGACACTATTACGCACCAATACAGAGCTTTATAGAGCGTATATGCAGAGAGAGTGTGTGTGTGTCTATCGGGTAGAGTTATGGGGCTGTGATTTGGGCCCATACTACGTTGTGAGCCCAACGAACGGAGTTTTCAATTGCCGAGCTGCCATCAAATCGTCGCCCTTAAATGCATAATCGGTTGTGGTGCCCTTGGATTAATCTTATAACTGCCTTTTTAAACGCTCGCATCGTCAATTCCAGCCATCACGAATGCAACACGAATCTCGTGCCACTCTCCCTCGTGTGGACATTGACGTTGGAAGTTCCATTGACGGGGGCCCAGCCCGCGCATGTTTCGATCGACTTGCATGATTGTATGATTGTATGTGTGTATACGAACCTGAAGAAACGGGTTCGATTCCCGCTCACGGCCAACACCCAGTGACGATTATCTGAACCGGTCCTGGGCCTCCCCTCGGTCGACTCAGCCTCAAATGAGTACCTGGTGCGGTGTGTAGTAAACATCGCCACTGGGGAGACAAAGGCGGCCGGGCGTGGTGCTGGCCACCCACCCCCTCGTGTACCGTTCCGACCTTCATAGGTGTTCGCTAACAGCACTTGCCCCTACAGTCTGTTAAGGCTATATGGGGGATCTTTATCTTTGTCTTTGTATGGCTTTTGTATGGGGAGCGGTAATGTAGCGGTTAGCGCACTGCACTTCGAACCTGGCGACCCGGGTTCGATTCCCGCTCACGGCCAACCCCAGTGACGATTATTTGAACCGGTCCTGGGCCTCCCCGAGGTCGACTCAGCCTCAAATGAGTACCTGGTGCGGTGTGTAAACATTGCCACTAGGGAGACAAAGGCGGGCCGTGCGTGGTGCTGGCCACCCACCCCCTTGTGTAAGGTGCCGGCCTTCATAGGTGCTACTCGCTAACAGCACTTGCCCCTACAGTCTGTTACAGGCTACCCTGGTGGATCTTTGTGTGTTGAACTTTTTTCGCGAATCGTGCTAATCGTATGTGCGGGGAATGACACCCCGAGTGCACTGACAGCCACTTTGGGGGAGGGGTTGTGGTGCAGATAGCGACCCCGGTTCAGATTGAAGAGCCTCAATGAGCCGAGATGAATGCAGCGCTGGATATAATAGCAACGAATACATTTTGATAAACGCACGTGGACAAACGCACAACGGGGATGAGATTGAAGTTCATGGCTATGGCACCTTGACAGCGCCCTTGATGTCCCTGAATACACACACGCAGAAACACACACAGACACTCACACACAGACACTCACACGCAGACATACACAGACACACAGACACTCACACACGCAGACACACGCAGGCACACACAGACACTCACACACAACAACAACCGCCATTCGCCACTAAGTGGCGGTGACGTCACCACGACGCTTGTGCCAGGCCATGTGCACCTTGAGGCCACGTGAAGTGTCGAACGCCCGCTGGCAGGAGGTCACGGGGCAGACCCAAGTGCCACGGGTCGACTGACTGAGATGACTGGCTGATGCACCACCTGTGTCCCCTACTGTGCCAATCTGCTGTGCTTTAGCCACCCGGCACTCCGCTCGTTGTTGTGAGCGTCGCTCCTCCGCCCTCCGTTGTTGTTGGAGGGCGACTGCCTCCAACTGCCCAGTAGCGTCCTTCACGAGCCTCCTCCACAGAGGCCGATCTTGACACCGCTGGTACCAGTCATCGGCAAGTCTACTCAGCTCCACGTCCTCCTGTACCACGTCACTCCATCTCTTCTCTAGCCCGTGCCGCGCCCGTTTAGCCCCCTCGATCCGGTCGAACAAAAGCTGTTTCGGCATGCGGTGGCTGGGCATGCGGGCTACATGACCCAGCCAACGCAGCCTTGCCTGCCGGAGGAGCTCACCGATGGGACCGTGCCCAGATCTTTCAAGGATTTGTGAGCTCCTCACACAATCCAGCTTGGTTAAACCCAGGATGGATCGTAGGCAGGCCAGCCTAAATGTTTCTAACCGGCGAGGATGTTCCATTAGGGGGGTCCACGTTTCGCAAGCGTAGAGAAGGGAGGGGATGACCGTGGCCGAGAAGACCTGAAGCTTAGTGCGGAGCGACAGACCAGGTAGCTTCCACACAGCGTTACGCAACCGATGAAAAGATATTGCCGCTCGACTGATTCGGAGTGAGACCTCTGCTGTTAAACTGGAGCCGGTCATAAGCACACTGCCCAGGTATGAGAAACTCTCCACACTCTCCACAACTGGCCCATCACCGATTGGAAGTTGTGGGGGTGGAGTGTCCGATGGTACAAAATACCCAGGCAGGTGCTTAGTTTTGGTGGGGCTGATGCTAAGGCCCCATCTCTTAGTAGCACGCTCCAGTCTCAGCAGCAGCGTCTCCAACTCCTCCTCTGAATGAGTAGCTATTACCAAATAATCGGCATACATAACGTGGTTGAGCAATAGGGAGCCATCCCTTGACCGCACCCGGGCATCGATCAGCCTCCCATTATATCTGTACCATATGGAGATTCCCCCAGTACAGCAATTGAAGGCTTCACGAACTACGTGGTCAAAATAGATGTTAAATAATGTGGGAGCCAGAGGACATCCCTGTCGCACCCCAAGGTGTACAGGGAATGGCTCTGACTCCCGGCCACGTAGTTTTACCCGGGCCCGCTCACCATCATGAAGGTCCTTAATGATCGTGAGCAGATGGTCAGGTACTCCAAAAGCACGAAGAACAACCCAGAGCCCAGGCCTACTGATGGTATCATAGGCCTTGACCAGGTCAATAAAGCAGAGATGTAGGTCTTGCTGGAATTCCCTACACCTCTGCTGTAGCAGACGGACAGAAAATATGGCATCTGTGCAGGACCGCCCTTTCCTGAAACCGCATTGGGGCTCCGCAAGCCCCTCCTCAGCGTGCCTTTCCCGGCACACTGAGGAGTGAGATGCCCCTGTAGTTGTTACAGTCTGTGTGGTCCCCCTTCTTAAAGAGGGGGACCACCAGGGCATCCTTCCAATCCTGCGGAACCCGTCCAGTGGTCCAAACTGTTGTTATGATGTCATGTAGGGCAGTCTGTGCACAAACGCCACCCTCCCTCAGCATTTCGCTTGGGAGATCATCTCTGCCCGTTGCCTTTCCTGGTCTCAGACTCCGGATCGCCTTCAGTACTTCCTCAACAGATGGCACCTCAGCCAGCCACTCACAGAGGGTGACTTCTTCCAATATTTGAGGCACCGCAGCCTCAGCAGGGTCATCCTCACTTTGTGCCACGATGTTTTCCTGGCTGAGGGATTTTTCCTCCCCCAGGACCTCACAGAAATGCTCAGCAAATCTGCAAACCTGTTCCGCAGACACACGCACAGACACTCACACACAGACACTCACACACACACAGACACACACACACGCAGACACACACAGGCACACACACAGACACTCTCACACAGACACTCACACACGCAGACACACGCAGACACACACAGACACTTAAAGATCCCCCATATAGCCTTAACAGACTGTAGGGGCAAGTGCTGTTAGCGAGCACACAGACACACACGCAGACACACACAGATACACACACAGACACTCACACGCAGACACTCACACACAGACACTCACACACAGACATGCAGGCACACACACAGACACTCACACACAGACACTCACACACAGACACACACACACAGACACACGCAGACACACACAGACACACACAGACACTCACACACACAGACACACACACGCAGACACACACAGACACACACACAGACACTCACACACACACACGCAGACACACACAGACGAATATCCCCCCGGCACACGAGGAGGTGGGTGGCCAACACCACGCCCGGCCGCCTTTATCTCCCCCAGTGGAGACAAAGGTGCCCAGGACCGCTTTGGGTAATCGTCACCGGTGTTGGTGGCCGTGAGCGGGGAACCGAACTCGGGTCGCTGGGTTCGTAGCGCAGCGTAGCGCTAACCGCTGCGCCACCACTCCGCGTTACCCAAGATTCCAGCGGGCCTTGTGTTTGTTGTGGTTAATTTAATGAAATGGACACGCGCGCCGGTAAGGCGCGCTACACTGGAACACGCGTTCACGAGATAGCGCGAGGTGTCAGAGGGGGTGGGGAGTGGGGGTGGACTTGGGGTATGGGGGATACTCATTCACACACCTGCTCACCCAGTCATCTAGAGGCAGACCGAAATTTAATTTCTGGTTTCGGCCGAAAACGAAACCAGACCGAAAGTCAAAAAATTACTTTCGGCCGAAACCGAAACTATGCCGAAAGAGGCCATTTGCCGACTTTCGGCTCCGAAACCGAATTTCTGTCGGCTTCTACAGTCATCCACACACTCCTTCACAAATTCAGCCTGTCACAGACTGTCGTGGCAAGTGCTGTTAGCGAGCACCTATGAAGGCCGGCACGGCACACGAGGGGGGGGGGGGGGGTGTCAGGACCATGCACGGGAATCGAACTGGGTTCGCCGGGGATCGCGTTAATTGCTACACACGCGCACACTCTCACCTCCTTGCACGCACTCCTCAGATCATCCACTCGCACACGCTTCATCATCCACTCACCTTGTCACTCAACTCACTCAGTCCCTCCTTCACTCAATTATATCCTGGTGACTCATACTCACTCACGCATTCACCCACCATCTAACCCACTCGCCCATTCAATCTCTCACCCACTCCACGCCTTCACCCGCTCACCCTCTCATCCACTCACTCGCCATCTCACCCTTTCAGCCGCTGTCCCCCGTCACTCACCCGATCACCCTGTCGTCCACTCACCCTGTCACCCACTCACCTCGTCTCTGACCCTTTCACCCACTCGCGCGGTGACTCGGAGCGGTAGATGCGGGTGGGGTCAGTGGAAAGAACCACACGGCGTGGCGCTTGGCTGCTCTGCTCATCACTAATTCACCCCATGTCTCGGGTGTAAAGCCTCCAACGCTGCGTTTTTTCCAGCGTCGGGGATTTGTTTGCCGTGTTTTATTAACCCCCCCCCCCACCCCTCTGTTGCTGTCGATCCCTCCGGCTTTAAACACAGATAACGTCGCTCGTGACACGACTTGGACGGAGGTGCAGCGGCGTTAGCTTGGAGTGTGCAGGCGGTGCAACTGCACCGGGTCCCACGGGCTGAAGGGGCTCTGCAGGCGCCAGAATTTTAGAGGGGCTCACCCCCCCCGCCCCAATTTAACTAATTGTACCAGGACCCCTGCCAGCCACCGACGCCACTTGTATGCATGTAGTATGGTAAATTTCTTTCGCGCCGTACGTAGCCAACCGTGCTAATCGGAGGTGCAATCAACCCCCATTTGACGGATTCAGAGGACGCTTCGGTTTTTACAGAGTGAACGGGCTGGTAAATCGATAGCAGGCGTTCTCTCGGCTTTAGCGTCATACTCCTCGGTTATTGAATATCGGACTTCGTGTTTGAGTTGACCACCCTTCAAAATATCAAGGTTAAAACTTGTTTAGGTATAGGTTCAAACAAATATATAGTCATCAACTGTTCCGAAATGTTGGACGACCCGAAATTGATGAGTTTGTACGATATTTTAGTCGATTATCGTCATAGATGGTGTGCAAATCTTAAGTTTACCCACCCTTCCCGAACATCATAAAAAAATGTGTAATGTACTCATGAATTAGCTGTGTAAAACTTTATATATGGGTTTCGAAAGATATGTATACACAGGTGGGAATTCGTGGATGTAGGGTGTGTGGGTATTCAGTCAGAAAATGTATCAGGCAGGTAAATGCCACCCTATATTAACGATCTCTAATTGTAGGTGTACTATGGTACGGTACTACATACACAGCATCATGTATTAGGAAGTTTAGGGGTTCCAGTGTGCCAAAAAGTGGAATCTTTCATTCAGTTTTGTTCTTAAGTTTAGGTAATGAAGGTAATACAAGTATACATGTGCGCTGTTATATTCCCGTTTTTAAAATTATAATAATGGGTTCATCTTATTGGTTCTTTCGGTAAAGTCACGTAGAATGAGAACAAAATAATAAATTGATAAAATAAGACAATAACATTCTCACGACGTTTCGGCCACAACACAAGTAGCCTTCTTCAGGTGAAGGAACAGAACTGTCGGGACGACAGCGCTTCAATGAAATATCGAATTATAATAATGGGGTTTATTGGTCAATTAAACGACGCGCGTGTGCCGTGACCCATCACACTTTGCAGTTGATGATGCATCGCAACTGATAACGCGTGCCCTCTACCGGCCACAGGCAGGATCAGGTCCATGTCAAGAGTCACGTTTCAGAGAACATTCATTCACACATCTTAAGCCTGTGGACAAGTCTTCCGGAAAGGGCACGCTCTCATCAGGTCTCGTAATCAGATCTCAGGCGGAGGGCCGAGTGGGTGAGTTAAGGGGGGCTGGAGTGGGTGAGTTAAGGGGGGCTGGAGTGGGTGAGTTAAGGGGGGCTGGAGTGGGTGAGTTAAGGGGGGCTGGAGTGGGTGACTACAGTGTCTTATCCAGCTGTTAGGGGCCGTCCATAAATGACGTCACACGATTTTTCACGATTTTTGACCCCCCCCCTCGTCACACGGCGTCACAGAAAGTCAGACCCCCCCCCCAAATATGACGTCACAACGCTCTGCCCCCCCCCCCCAAAAAAAAATATAAAACATGCTTCAAATCGCTTTAAACTATTCTCATTAATTAAGTAGAACGTGTTGTCTATATTCATTTAAAGTTGCGCATTCTGATGTGACGTCACATTTCTCAAAGCCCCCCCCCCCTCGTCACACACCGTCACAAATGTCTGACCCCCCCCCCCCCAGGTGCGTGACGTCATTTATGGACGGCCCCTTATGGGCTGCGGCGCCGCTACTCTTTCAGCAGCATCGGTGCAGTGAAATCCACTGTTCGTGCTCTACTTACACGTTAATAAATAGACGACTGCTACTCACCTGATCGGCGCGGTGAAATAAACCCCCAATGTCTGCACGAGTCCAGCAGCGGTTTGTCAAAAGGGCTGTGCTGTCCTTGTGCTGCAAAATAAACGATTCTGTTTGGCGTCTGAAATTTGTTTAAATGCCGTCTCTGGTGTAGGCCAATCAGTTTCAAAGACAACGCGTACATACACTGTCAGAGCATGAGAAGAGGTTTTCCCCTTTTTTTCTGGCAACAAAACAGCTGTGTTAAGATGTTAAAACACCAAACTGAAACCTTTTACAAGGAATCACGTCTGCATTAACCACAATACTTGTGGTCAGAATGCAAACAAAAAAACGTACTCTGATAATGATGCGTTGTCTTTGAAACTGATTGGTCCACACCAGAGACAGCTTTCTTTTGAGCCTCGTCTCACAACGGGGTTAGACCAGAGGTCGCCAATCTCAAGAGAAGTGTGTCAAGTCGTCATTTCACACGTATTCTGGGTTTAAACCTGCACCCTACCTACACCCAACCTCCCCGCGTTGCAGACTACGTCTGGGTGTCGTGCTTCCCGAACACCATCACGGCGACCGTGCTCGAGTGCCCCTTCGGCTGGACGCTCGAGACGCTGCTGCTGGGCGGAGTTTGCGTCAACGGGGTCAGCAACCAGGGCTTCTACAAGTTCGTCATCCCCGACCTGACCCCCAGCGACTTCAGCTACTGCGGCACCCAGACGCAGGTCCACCCCCGCACGCTCGGCCCACTCCGCTCACTGGTCAGGGCCAGTAGCCTGACTTAGCGGGGGGCAGGAGGGTGCCTTGACCCCCCCCCCCCCGCCGCCCGCCCCTCCCCCTTGCCCCTCCCCCCTGGTGGCCAGAGCTACGAGTTGGGGGGCCCCGCTTGACAACCACCGTGAGATGTTTTCAACAACTTGCTTAAAAGAGCAATAATTTATTTGTATGAAAATGCTTTCATTTAAGTTGCATGTTTTTATTGTTACTTAAATAGAGCAGTAAAGTAATATTGCAAAGAGGTACGAAATGCAGCCATGGTGGCTGCATTTTGCGAAGACAAAGCACCCCTACAGGAGGCCGCGATATACAATAGCCTAGGTACGACCGTGCGAGACAAATAAAATATTGGGGGGCACCACCTGACCGATTGCCGCACCTCCTGAGCTGATAATGTAGTAACTACGTCACTGGTCAGGGCAGAAACTAATTGGCAGCCGAGGAACGCTGGGAATCTATTGGTGTGATAGGGTAAGGGAACTTGGAAGTGCAGCTTAGAACGTGACAAGAAAGCGTTGCAGGCGAAATATGTTTGTTGATGGGTGGTGCGTCAATGGAGGATGGAGGCGGGCAGGTTACATAGACATGTGTTCATTGGGGTGGGGGATGCCTAACCCAGGGAACGGAAACTAAAATAACAAAATAGGCATTATTTTCTAACTGGGTAAAACAAACACAATATTTCAAGAGACGCGACGCACGTGTGTACGAGACGGTTGTCCTTCATAAACAACGTCACGACGCAGCCGCACGCGGCTCCAGAGCCGAAGTTTGCCGACCCCCTGGCCTAACCTAAGCTCACGTCACACGGTGGGAGACCGTCAGAGGAGACGTTGAAACCCAGGTGTCGACTGAGGGATCTGTCAGAAGGAAGGGAGGGATTGCCACCGCGACCTTCTGTCATTCGTTCCAATTCATTTCGCTCCGTGTTGTCTCACGAGGAGTGCTCGTGTGCTCCCGCTCAGCTGGTGAACCAGCACGGCACGCCGACCTACGTCTTCACGAACTGGATCACCTCCAGAGACCAGGGTGCTGGCGTGCGCTTCCAGCCCGTCAACTACACATTCAGCTGCAGCTACAAGGCTCGCTACACCATGGAGACGGCCGCCTTCGACCAGAGGCAAGGAATGTCCCCACCTCCGGCCCGTGGCTGGTCACGCCGCCACTGCGCTGGTTACGCCGCGGTGGCGAGATGTTAACTTTTCTCTGGGGCCTCCGTTTTGTCCCTCCACGTTTAGAATCGACGCACGTTTAAGAGTATTTGGCTGCGATTCATCGTTGACCTATCGATTTTGATAAAGAGCAATATAGCTCAGTGGGCCTCACCTGGTGAAATACAAAAAAAAGTTAGTATGTCCATGCCGTGCTCTCTGAGACGAGAATGCGAATGTGTAGAAATGTTTTCAAATAATAATGAACACTCCTTTGTCAGGCTGTCGCTGGTTGAAAGCCCTCCTCGTGCCGCGTCGGTCGTGGGGGATTCTTTGACCATTCTCCGCCGCACCAGTCAGTGCTGGTTGATGAAGGAGGGCGACGGGATTGAGACTGGCTCAGATATCACTCTCCACCGATGTGAGCTGCGAATAGCAATTCAGGTTCGCGGGATATCGTAGCGCAGTGTTGCGAACCACTGCGCCACCAATCCACCTGGACAGTGTGAAGCGTAATGTAGAGATATTTCAATGACGATGATGACGCTGAGGTCTGCGCCTTAGTAGATTGGCGCAGTGGGGCCAACTCTTGCTGGCACGTTGGAGGACCAGTGTGTGACATGGACACGTGGACTCAGAAACACTACGTTCAGCTGTCTGCATGGACCCAGAACGACATTTTATTTCAGTTTATGTTTAAATTTTAATTGCCTGTTAACTCTAACCATTAGTGCAGGTTGGTTGTATGTATGTTGAACATCTTTCGCACCGTATGTAGCCAACCGTGCTAATAGGAGGTGCGGGGGAGGACAACAAACTGAACACAAAAAGCAGTTCTAAAGAAATTAGTTTTCAATCTAGATGATTTAAAAGTGCATAGCTCCAGTGGCTTCCTAATAATATCTGAAGGAAGAGCGTTCCAGACGGCCGCGGAAGTGCATCTGAAAATGCACGATCCAGTGACCGTCTCTGTTCGATGGTTAGCAACCAAAAGCCGCTGTGAGGATGACCGTGAGAGTTCGCGTGATGGTTTATGCTCCTTGACGAGATCAGCGAGGTATTGTTAATATGTGGCTTATATGTGGCTACCGGGACGCCAATGCAGTTCGGTTGACACGGGCCCTGGAACAAGGAATAACATGGGTGGCCCTCTGTTCAATTCCATAATATTGAACTTAAGGATCTGGGCTCCTTCTGGCCCGTGGGTCACGGCGCAGTTGCACCGCCTGCGCACTTTGATGAGCCATCCCACCGACTGTAACCCATCCTCACACTGCCACGCGATCCTCTGCCGTTTGCAGCGTTGCCACAATATTCGTCAAGAACGGCAGCTGGGGATCCTTTGAGAGTCAGCTGTCTATGAACATCTTTTCTGTGAGTGTCTGCACGTGCACACATACTCTGGCAGCCTTTATGGTATAGGGGCACCACGGTGGCGATAAGTTGTCTCCCTCGCCTGGTACACAGGAGGTCGTGGGTTCAAACCCGACCTTGACGCCTGCATATTTGGAGTTTGCGTGTCCTCCCCTTGATCGCGTGGATTTTTCTCCGGGAATTCCAGTTTTCCCCTCCACGTTTAGAATCAACATCACGCGTTTAGCGTATTTGGCTGCTATATATTTCCACACGATGATAAGCCCACTTCGTTGAGCTGTCGTTTGTGGCCAGGTTGCTTTTCGATAAAGAACTATGAAGCTCAGTGGGCCTTACCTGGTAAAATATTAATACAAATTTAGAGCCCCAAATTTTTTTTAGACATTCTCCAAAAACCGTGGATATGGGCCCTATAATGGGACGTTGGGCCGGTACATCTGTCCACTGTGATAATGGGGTTCCACTGCAAATGTATTATTCAGGCCATTGAACAAGTCACTGCGACATACCAATTGCTTCCGATATTTGTCTTACCATAAAGTCTGCCACACCACACGTTTATACTGCGTTCGTACAACACGATGGATTGTTTCACGTAGAATATTCACAAACTACTTCGTTGTGTGTGAAGTTTAAAATCACTCTCTAGTTAGAACCTCGATTATCTGATTGCAAACTTAGATTCCTTGTCGGTTAACGAGACGCGTGCACTCCACGTGGTGCCTGCTGAGTGTTTACGAAATTCTGCACCGTGGAGTGAACACCGTCGCTCACATTTCGTTTATTTTTCTCCTCTTTCCTTCTTTTTTCCACTCTCTTTTTCCTTAAGGGTCCTACGGATAACGGACGCGTTCGGATAATCGAGGTTCGGAAAACTTTGACGTTGTGACCGCGAATTTTGAGGCCAATGCATGAGGCTGCGGTGGCTATCGTGTTTTGTGGTTCCCTGCATCGTTTTGATTGTTGGGTTAATGAAGCCCCTTTTAAATTAAGAATGGAAATGTATTGTTATTTTGTAAGGGCACTGACGATAATGAATTGAGGTGTGCTGTCAATTGAGTCGCTCATTTGCATGGTTTGCGTGTGTACCGCATTTCAAACAATGACGTGACCGTTTGTCTTTAGCACCAGAAGGTAAAACGCTTAAAATGTTACAGTAGAAATAAGATCGCATTTCTATATCTTAAAGAAACGGTCCTTTAACATCTTGCAGTTCAGCACGTCAGTTCACCAGCGTTCACCAGCATTGGTTCAAGCAAGCTTGACTCTGCTGATGATCCACTCGGATTCGCTTGCACTGAACCAATGCTGCTGAAGTCATTCGCTCTCAGAAGGCCGTGTGGCCCGATGGGCTATGTACATAATTATACTTTTTAGTTTTACCTGGAGAGACAAGACGTATGGAGGAGGCGCGTTGTCTTCTTATTTCCTTTCTAACGTCTTTATTACTTTCTTGCACTCCGTAAGATAGCCCCAGTAGCGTATTTTCACGAGCGTGTCATTTCCAGCAAAAATAACACAGCCACGTGAATGAAAAAAGTATCGTGGCACGAGAATGAAGGCTTCGGTTTGCATGCGTGTATGCGTGTGTGTGTGTATGCATGTGTGTGTGTCTGCGTGTGTGTATGCATGTGTGTGTGTATGCATGTGTGTGTGTCTGCGTGTGTGTGTGCGTGTGTGGGCACAGAACTCCAAGTTCTCAGTGCTGAAACCGGCTCCGTTCATCGTCGACGCCACGGACATCGGCTCCATCGTCTTCATCGGCATCGAAGCCAAAGGGCTGAGCCGCCGGTGCGGGAAGCCCTCGCTGGCCCTAGGCAGCAGCCTCCTCCTCGCACGGCCAAGCCGAGCCTCTTACCTCCTCCCGGTCGCTCTGCTGAGATGTGGCTCCCCCATCCCCTCCCCACCCGTCCCCACCGAGGCCACAGATGAACTCACGCACGGGGAGGGAAGGTTGCCTCCTGTGTTGAATGCCAACGCGTGAGAGGAGCCCCAAGGCCGATTCGCCAACAGGGGGAGCGGTGGTGATGGTTGGCCTCTGTGTCTTGGGGGCCGTCCATAAATGACGCAACGCACCTGGGGGGGGGGGGGGTCAGACATCTGTGACGATGTGTGACGAGGGGGGGGGGTTAGAAATGTGACGTCACATCAAAATGCGCAACTTTAAATAAATATAGACACGTTCTACTTTTAATTAAATATACTTTTTTAAAATAAATGTTTTCTCCTTCAACATCAGAGTGCAGCGCCACATTAAATACCCACTACAATGACAATAGTTTAAAACGATTTGAAGAATGTTTTTTGGGGGGGGGGGGCAGAGCTTTGTAACGTCATATTTGAGGGGGGTCTGACTTTTTGTGACGTCGTGTGACGAAGGGGGGGTGGGTCAAAAATTGTCAAAAATCGCGTGACGTCATTTATGGACGGCCCCTTGGCACTACCGTGGCAGGGGCGGGGTGAGGCGAGGTGGGGCGGCCAGGGGCTCCTGATAGGGGTATACCGTGGCCGACTGCGTAGCTGCAATGGAGCGTTCTTCGTTGCAAGGATCGTGGGGCCACGGGCGGCCCCTGGTGGCCTTTTGTGTGGCCCCCGATAATGCACGAAGAGTGAAAACGCCCCCCCCCAACCCCCCCCCCCCATCATTGTGCCGTCATGCCCAGCAATGGTTTCAAATGAGCGGCGGCCCTCGCACACTGACGATGTCTTATCGGCGAAAGTGGCGCCCACCGTGGATAACGAGTGAAGGACGCTGCCGGGATGGGCTCGAAGCGAGCAGTGGCTGCTGGTGGCTTTAAACAATTTCGGTGGGGCGGTGCAGGCAGCCGCAACACCAATGTGGGAGGGAGGGAGGGAGGAGGGGGGGGGGGTGCTTCCTCCAACTTGTCTCTTTATTTTGTTGTCTCTCTTGGCTGTCCGCGTCCATGTTGACGTTTGTGTCTCCTCCGCTGCCCCGTACATTGTCGTCATCAATAGTGCATTGTGGGCACCCCTGATCAGCCACTACGATCGCCCCCCACCCCGCCCGTGGTCCTGACAAGGGGATGTGTCTTTGGCAGATTTAAGATCGTGATCTCAAAGTGCTGGGCCACCCCTTCCACCAACAGCAACGGCAGCATGGGCCTGTCGCTCATTCACGCAGAGTGAGTCGCAAGCTGCGTCCTCACCACTTGGGGCGTCTTCAAGAGGCCCTCTGACACGTGGCGAGACGTTAATCTACCTCTCCTCGTGTACAGGAGGTCGCGGGTTCGATCCCGACCCTGACGCATGTGTATTTGGAGCTTGCGGTGTCTCTTTCCACGTGGTCGTGTGAATTTTTCCACGGGTCCTCCGGTTTTTCCCCCCGCCGCGTTTAGAAACGTGCGTTTAGAGTATTTGGCTGCTACTATAAATTCCCACTTGTGATATCGGCCACTTCGATGGGCTATCACGTGTGGGCTGGTCGCCTCTGTAAAAGAGTTCATAGCTCAGTGGGCTTTACCTGGTATAATAAAATAGTTTAGTGTCGTTCAAGAAACATGTCCGTTGAGAGGTTATTTATGATTTTTTATTCGTCATGAATGTTTCAATAATTTAAAAGAACCCCATCATCATTTGTTCGAACTCACGGGAGTGGTGGGGGGGGGGGTAACGTGTTTACGTGTCGAAGTTGCGTAACTTCACGTGAAAAAACACGGTCATTCTCGGCGGCTCTTCAAAAAATGCGTACACCCCGTCAACCATAAGTCTTCTCCTGCACACAGATGCCCCAGCGATAACACCGTGGTGATCTTCGAGAACGGACACTCCCAGAAGTCGACGTTCCAGTTCCGCTCGTTCCGCTTCCGCGACGTGAGCGGCACGTCGCGCGTGTGGCTGCACTGCGAGGTGCGGCTCTGCGACAGCCACCGTGCCACGTGCTCCAAGGCAAGGCCCACCGGCGACACGAGGGCCTCATCGCGGCCCCGGGGGCCAACGACATCTCCTGCTCCGCGCGCCAACCGCTGTCACGTCAACCAGTGACACGTCAACGCCTGTTGCGCCAACCGCTATGCGCCAACCCCTGTCGTTCATACCACTGTAGCGTCAACCAGTGTCACGCCGACCCCTGTCGCTCCGAGTGTCACGCCGACCCCTGTCGCTCCCACCGCTGTCGCGCCAAACGCTTGGGGCGACCAGTGCCACGCCAACCATCGTTGGCGGCAGACCGACCTAATCTGTGAACGCGTGCAATTGTGTTCATTTCGACAATGCCCAAAAGCGAGAGGGCGTGAGGTCACCGATTTGCGGAGCAGGTGGCCGAATGACCCGGCCGTGACATTTCAGTCCACCACGTGTTCTGCTCCTGGCAAAACTTACTTCCTCGTTTTAGGCATACAGTAGTTATTTACTTTCCTTATATTATATATTTTTGGCACCACTCCCCCTCTCAAAGAATGCTTTCACATGCCGCCTCTGGGGGATAAGTAGCATTCTACTGCTTTCGGTGGAAAACAATTTTACATCTTAAGCTGCGGTCACTGAATCCGCCTTGACTGCATATCTACACGCAGCCGTAAATCACAAAGGTTGTTTTTTTCTTTTTCGACAGTATTTTTTTTTACTTCTTGGCGGTCGCAGTGCTCGGTGGACTCGCGCGTCGCTATGCTTGTACGCAGACGTCGAAGTATAAATGTGGCCACCGCAGATAGTCGACCGGCAAGTCTCGCGTGGCTGGGTAAAGTGTGGGTTCTCCCATCCCATCCAAAAAGGTTTGGCTGAGCGTGGAAGAGTAGGCTAAATATACCGTCTAAGAGCAAGGGGTGGCCAAGAGCCAAAAAGTACACATGCGTTCTGTAAAGAGCCGAGTATATATGGTGTGCCGGGTTAAGCTAGTGCGGGCCCTTAAGCATTTGTTATAAAGGGGCCCTAAATATAAAAAAACACGCAAATATTAAAACACAAATTTTTTACTTGCATAGAAAAGTTATTATATTGCTTCAATTGCTATACATCCAGATAATACGACAAATCGCTAACCTTAAACACTCAATCGTTCATAAACGTTGAAGGCAGTATAGTACTATAGTAATAGAGCAAGTGCAGAATCACTGAACCGGCATTTATAGCTTGAAAGCATTTAGCGCAGGCCCTTGAAAGTGCGGAGCCCATAGCATATGTAGCTACTTTTGCTACTAGGATAATCCGGCACTGTATATATGTATATGTGTAGATGTATATTGACAGTTTTCAGCACAGCACGGGAGACATTCGTTATTATCTGCTACTGTGATAGTGCGTTCTACGTTACGCCCCTTCGACAGAGCCGCATGTGGTAGATTAAAAAGCCGTATGCGGCTCGCGAGATGCCAATTCGGCCGCAACTCGATCTCTCTTGAGCTGCCTCTCGTGGAGGATCTTCTGGCAGCGGTGGCGTGGCCGAGCAATTGCAGGGCTGCAGCTTTATTTTTGTTACACACTGCGCACAATACCTCGCTGGTCTTGTCAAAGAGCAGCAACCATCTAGCTCCGGTCATTTGGCCTGGTGATGGCCTGGTGATGGCCTGGTCATCGAACAGAGACGGCCGCTGCATCGCGCGGCACTTTCAGACGCGCTTCTGCGGCCGTCTGGAACGCTCTTCCTTCCGATATTAGGAAGCCACTGGAGCTATGCACTTTAAAATAATCTAGATTGAAAACTTATTCCTTTAGAACTTCTTTTTTTGTTTAGTTTGGTGTCATTCCTCCGCAACTCCGATTAGCGTGGCTGGCTACGTGCGGTGCGAATGAAGTTCAACGTGCACACATGCATAACATTTGCTCGGAAGATCGTTTTCAGTTTCATTTATTAGGTATAACCCTGTGAGCCATACGGCTCTTGACTCGGGTGCAACCGCAACAAAACAAAAACATGAACAAGAAACATCTTAAAGTGACTATATGCAACAGAAGAAAAAAAACCTGGGAAAAAAATAGCAAAGTCTTCCAAAAAAAGCCCACCGCATTTCAACGCTGTGTGCAAAAATCCCAGTGGGATGCAAGTCAAACAATAACAGCCATATCGATTGAGAAGAACCGTCAGCCGATGCTGCAGCCTCCAAATCTGTGTTCCATTCATCTGCTGAGGTCCGATTGACCCGCGTTCGTCTCTCTGTCTCTCTCTGCACCGCAGAGTTCATGCTCCTCTCGGCAAATGAGGATTGAAACCGCGGAGGACAACATGGGCACGCTCACGCAGGAGTTCCAACTTAAAGGTAAGGTGCACCCTGCACACGCAATAAGACAACAACAACCGCCACAAAAAAAAAACCCTCATAGCTTACGCAGGCTGTTTGGGAAAGTACCGTTTAGCGAGCACTTTACGCGCACGCAGGCCAAGTGTGGCAGTCTTTATTTACCCAGTGCTGATGGGTTTTATTACACCTCACCAAGTACTCATTTTTAGGCCGAGTCGAGCTGGGGAATAAATTCGCCTAGACCCGTGCAAATAGTTGTGACCGATGCTATCCGTGGCCAGGAATTCAACTCCGGTCGCCAGGGTTGGTAGCGCAGTCTCGCTAACCGTCACACTGCCGCTGCCCGCAAACTAAAGACACGGAACTGCCAAGGGGGGTGAGGGGGTAATAAGAATACTTTCATTTTACCGCTAGCGACATTGATGTCCAGCATTTACAGAGTGTTTCCTCGTGTTCTCATGGCCAACACCAGGGACACTGTTGACACACAGGGAGGCCTTGGGTAACATCAGAATATTTACTTAGACTGGAGGAATCCGATGAGCTATGAAGCTCTTGTTCATAGATGTCCAGTATGGGCGTGTAGGCGGGTTAAATGTCCGTCTGCTCTCCTTAGCTCAGAGCTGGTACTGACCCCATCACCTTCGGTTGGCTACATACGGTGCGAAGGAAGCTCAAAATACATAATACACACGTCACACCAATTTATAATTTTAGGCTGAGTGGACTTTGCAGAGATTTTAGCAAAGTGCAGGCACCGATCGCCCCCGAGGGATATACTCTTAAGACTCAGTGAGGTGTTCCTGGAGATTTAAATGGCAACTTTATTATGATTATTATTATTCCCACGATTCACAAAGTACGTTGACAGATGTCACGCGTAAGCAGACGAGTTGAGAGTGCATTCTTTCCTCCACTCCATCCGCTTCAGACAAAAAAAGGTGCCTTGACGTTTTGACGAACGCACGCAGACGTTTCAGAATAAGCGAATATACCAAATACGATTGTTTGCGTATATCCATTCTGGTCAACTAATGTTGTTGAGGGCCACCCTCTTCCTGTTTGCGCAGAAAACAAGGCGGCAGCATGTACCTGCGGCCCCAACGGTGAGCTTTGGTTAATTACTGTATTTAATATTCATAATAAAGGTTTTATTCCTATTTGATGAAAACATTTCCTTCCACATCGATAAGCGATGTGCATCTTCCAGAAGTATTATCTATTGCTCTGAAGTAATCTCACCTTTTAAAATTAACAAAAATATATATATATTTTAATGGTGCTTTCGTAATCGGATTTCTGTACAGAGCTGTAGAGCGTAGCATCTGGCTGCCGCCTGATGATGCCGGTTGTAATCACTGGCGAAACGTCGTACTCAGATTGTAAATGCTGTGGATTTACTCTCCAACACACCGGTGTGGCTGTACTAGTAACGAATTGGCACGTTCTGTTTACGTGACAAACCTTACTAATTGGCTGTGTCGGGTGGTGGTGGGTTTAACGACACATTTATCTTCACACGATCCAACCCAAAAAAACCTGTATTGTAGAACTTAGCATGTTTCAAATATCGCGCCACACTGGATCGATTGGCCAATGAGTGCTATCGGTGTTTATTGTGATGCATCCTGGGATAATTTTGATGAACAGCAACTATATAACGGCAACATGTCAGGTATGAGAATAGGTTTCCCCTATTTATCTGGCAACAAAACAGCTGTGTTAAGATGTAAAAAACACCAAACTGAAACCTTTTACAAGGAATCATGTTTGCGTTATCCACAATAATTGTGGTCAGAATGCAAACAAAAAACACTCTGATAGTATATGTATTGTCATTGAAACTGATTGGTCCACACCAGAGACAGCTTTCAAGCTGACCAATCCGTTTCAATGACAATGGACATATTATCAGTGTGTGTTTTGTTTGCATTCTGACCAAAAGCATTGTGGTTAATGCAGCGACATGATTCCTTGTAAAAGGTTTCAGTTTGGTGTTTTAACATCTCAACACAGCTGCTTTGTTGCCAGAATTAGAGGGGGAAACCTCTTATTCTTAGTTCTTTCGGTAAAGTCACGTGCCTTTACCGAAAGAACTAAGAATATGAATTACTGCAGTCACGAAAGCTTTAAATCAAAAGGGAAACCTCTTCTCACATGTTGGTACTGGCAAAGGAGGACCAATGATGTCAAGTACCGTGTTAAACATTTTACAACAAAAAAATCGTACCACAAATTACAATCCCGTCGACCTCACACAGCGGGTATATTTACAGAGGGTGGCAAAGCCGTGGCTCAGCAGGAAAGCGCACTGCGTTTTGAACTGTGCGAGCTGAGTTCCATTCCGTGGCCACGACCAACGTCCAGTGACAATCTGCACCGGTCCAGGGCTTATTATTGCCTTCACCAAGCCTCGCAGACGAAGGTTGTTGACGTCCCGTAAAACGAATCCCGTTCACCGACGCGGTGTGGGTTGGACTCTTTTTTTAAATCAATCAATCTCAGTGGAGCGATAAAGGAGTCTCAATGTAAGCCGTCGACACGACACGTATGAGCGGCGAATGAAAGTCGATCGCTGTGCTGAAACAGCTCGGTTGGCGATTGACATCGTGGCCGGGTGTTTGATGTCCGCAGCTATCGCCGCAGGTGTCCATGTGTTCCTTCTGCTGCCGATTGTCTTCGGAGAGGGCATTCCGTGACGCCACCGACGACGACGACGGCGGCGGTGGTGGTGGTGGTTGGAGCCTCTGGAGGTTCTTGGTGATGGTGGTGGTTGTGAGTTGGTTGTGTCGTTGACAGCGCGACAAAACTACGCGGCTAATTTAAGACTTCTTCCAGTAGGAGGCGTACACATTCCATTGCACGTTGGCCGTCACCACCACCACCACGATCGTGATGTTTTGTTCCATGACTGCGAGGAGGTATTTATTTTCCATTACACCGTAGTGAGCTGTTGATTATACACGAAAATGTGGGGGGAGGGGAATGATAGCCCAGATAGCAGGGGGAAAAAAACCCCAGCAGATAATACAAAACACGCTAATTTGCTATTAAACAGATATTTATTGCTTACGAGATTTGAGGTGAATATTTAGGCGTGTAATTTGTGTTTTACAGCTTCCTTGAAACACTGCAATCAGTCACTGATTCACACGTCAGGAGTCGCTACTGATAGAACCATTGGCGAAACACGCTCCTTTGTAGAGTTTCCCACCGTCTATCGTGAGCACAGTAAATCCACCTACGGATAGTTGTACCTTGCCTAAGATGACGACTTCCAGATATTCATAAGCTCTCTTGCAAGCAGGGTTTGTCACACATAGTATGGGCAGGAGACATTTCCCAGCCCGACATTAGCTTTTAAAATAATACACTAATAACAATAATGAATAATTATAATTTCGTACATTTGGTTGCTTGCGCCATTCTTATAGCGCAGGGCTGTCGCGAAGTTGCTGTTCACACGCACGGTGTGCGCGAATTATAAGCATTCGGAGGCCACGTGGCAATTGTGTTATCCCAATAGAGTAATTTGTGTGTGTGTGGGGAGGGGGCGAGGCGAGGGGGTTTCTAAATTTCGCAAAGTATGAACCCATGACGCTGGCACACAAATGGCCTGCACGTTTTAATTATAACGTCAGAGGTGGGGGGGGGGTCTCTAACATTCACGGCATTGCAGACGACGCGCACGCACGCACGTGTGTGTGTTTCACGGTCCACGCAACCGCAGCAATAACCAGGGCGGACCGACGGATTCGAATCCGTGAACCTTTACAACGAGACGGCAGGCAGACAAGCGCCATCCGTGAGGTGACGTCGAAGTGCAACGCTTTTGCGGGTGACATTAATTTTGTCCGTCAATATCATCATCATCAGCAGCGGCATTGGCCGTTGTCAATGTTTCTGCTGCTCTTCGTCCATGTCTTTTTTTATCTCTACTTGCAGGAGAAGAGACCTCAAAAGTGAGTTTACAATTGAAGCAAGAATTACAATGTTGGTTACGACTACCGAACGTTCTTTGGCTCTGGGTCATCACGACCATTGCCACATTGACATTGCCACATAGGTCATGGCATTGACACACCACGACTCGACTTTCCAAAATGAAGTAACAACGTTTTAAGTGCGCCCTTTACAGCACATGGGTAATTCATGTCAAATGTTACCAGCTGGACTGCCATTGTAAAAAAAAAGACGTGCTTCTTTCACAATTGACCAATGGCAGCAGACACGCATACGTAGAGTCGTTCATCAATCCACTGCTGGATGAGGGCCTCCCCACGCCCTGCTGGTCGCAGGGGTTATTTGACCATACTTCACCACGCGGGTCAGCGAGGGGTTCGTGACGGTGGGGAGCAGTGATGTAGGGGGCATAGAAATACAGCACAACAGCAGATTGTGCTGCTTGTGCTGCCCACTACATAGCCCCGTCACCTATAGCACCCGGCTATGCATTGCGCTCACCCATCCACACACTATTCAGGCTCAACCCTGCTTACAAAGTGCTTGCCACAAATGAACCGCAATAGCTCACTTATCTCGTCCAGGAGCATGAACCCCCACGTGAACTCCGGTCGTCCTCTCAGCAGCAGCGGCTTTTGACTAGCCGTCGAAGAAAGACGGTCACCGCATCGCGCGCTTCCAGATGCGCTTCTGCGGCCGTCTGGAACGCTCTTCCTTCAAATATTAGGAAGCCACTGGAGCTATCCACTTTTAAAGTTCTATTGAAAACTCATTTCTTAGAGAACTGCTTTTTTTGTGTGTTCGGTTTGTTGCCCCGCCCGCCCGCACCTCCGATTAGCGCGGTTGGCTACGTACGGTGCGAAAGAAGTTCAACATAGAGTACACAGAACATGTGTCGTCACAGGCAATAGACCGGTAGGACATCGCTGCCACTCCGCACACACACACACACCACTGCCACTGCCCCCGTTTTGCTCCACAGTGGCTCTGCTTGCCTCTACCGAAAACCAAAAGGCTGCCTCTGGTCAAAGTTAATGGCAAACAGGGTTTATGAGTTGATAACATGCAATGAAATGCACCCAAAGGTTGCAAAGCGTTGACTAACCGTGACCCAATAGAACCCGTCGTGTCTCAACACAGGTACTGTATTGTGCAACGTTAGGTGACTAACAATATTATATTTTTTATTGTTTTGCAGTTTATTTTATTACGGTGGGGGGGCGGGGGGGCGACCCCCACCCCCCTCCCCACTTGGCAGCCCTAAATGGTTTGTTTTTAAATTTCGATTTAAAGCTTTCGTGACTGCAAGGATTCATCTTCTTTGGTTCTTTCGGTAAAGTCACGTAGAATGAGAATAAAATAATAAATTGATCAAATAAAATAACGCAATAATATTCTCACGACGTTTGTGTTGTGGCCGAAACGTCGTGAGAATATTATTGTGTTATTTTATTTTATCAATTTATTATTTTATTCTCATTCTACGTGACTTTACCGAAAGAACCAAAGAAGCTTTGTTTTTATTTGAATCCTACGTGAAGCAAAACGATGGGCTGTATTCAAGTGGTGGGCTGGTTTTTTTTTAAATGCTGTGGCTCATTGCCAAAGGGCCAGGGTGCACGAGCAGTGGATTTGCATAATAATTGCCTCTTTTTTTTCGTTTTCATATTTTTCTGTGCCCCCCCCCCTCTCCTCGTGTTATCGCAGTTATGCTTTTGATGTCAGTCGTGAGACGGGGAATTGTATTCAGAACTCTTGCACAGCAGTGTGTCAATCACTCTTTTGTTGGAGGACGACCCCCGTAGACGTGGACGTCACGGAGCTACTTCTGAGGTCCAATCACGTGGCCTCTGGACCACACAGTAAGGGGGGCAGCACTTTCTCTCTCTCGCCCTGCTACGGAGAGTTAATGTTCTTTGAATTGACAGTCAAACTAATTTGTTTAATTCTTCAGGCTGAAATTGAGCAGATACCCAAATGCGATCATTGTTTTGTGCAGTCATTTGTGACCATGCTGGAGACCATCAACTCATACACTCGAGGACTATTAGTCTATAAACTATTTTTTTATTTTACCCGGGAAGGCTCACTGAGCTAGACAGCTCTTTTTCGGCAGCGACCTCGCCACAAATGATAGCTCAACGAAGTGGCTTATCACGTGGAAATGTACAGCAGCCAAACACTCGAAACACGTTTCGAATTGTGGAGGGAAACGCCGGAGGACTCGGAGAAAAATCCACGCGACCACGGGGAGAACACGCAAACTCCAAATATACAACAGGCGTCAGGGTCGGGATCGAACTCACGACCTCCCGTATACGAGGCGAGGTAGTTAACATCTCACCGACTACTACCTGTATTCACACCCAGGATTTTACCCAGAATCCTTTATTGTACTGCATGCCTCTCTTAATTGTCTTTTGTTTCAGTGTTTATTTCGGTAGCAGTTTGTACTTACATACTATTAACATCTAGACGCTGGCAGTGCTGCTTTACCTGCACTTAAGCTGCAACCAATCATGAAAACAGTAATACTGCTATGAACGTCAACATTAATAACAAGGATCCGTCTTCAGTTGCCCGCAAATTTGACGAGCATCAGTGATTGCACACAGTGCTATGGATGTGCAGTGTTGTGGACCACACCATCGCTCTATTTAAGACCGAAACAGGAGGACTTCTTCACAATTCTGGCTAATCGCCTGATGAAGCTGGTTGTAATCACCAGCGAAATGTTGTATTCGAATTGTAAATGTTGTGGGTTTACTCTCCGAAGTTGTAACTAATTGGCACGTTTTGTTTACGTGACAAACCTTACCAATTGGCTGTCGGGTGGTGGCGGGTGAAACGACACATTTATATTTACGCGATCTAACCCCAAACAAACCTTATTATGGATAATATTGGTCGTGAAAGGCTCCTACTATTACGCGTTAAACTGACCATGCAATCTGCAAGCTCAGCTTGTGTTGCTCTAAACTCGCCCTCTCCTGGCGATGAGTACAGGCAGCGGCGTTTGTGTATCTATCTGTAGAATATAGAATGCGTTTCTATGTGGTCAAATGAGTGGGTATAGACTGTAGACTTGCGTTAAGTGGTTAAGTGTGTGTGTGTATGCATGGATTATCGACTGTGAGGAGTGGTAGTGGTGTGTTAGCGCACTGCGCTACGAACCCGGCGCCAGGGATTTAATTCCCGCTCACGGCTACCACCAGTGACGACTATCTAAACCGGTCCTGGGCCTCCCGCAGGTCGACTCAGCCTCAAATCAGTACCTGGTGCGGTGTGTAAAGATCGTCACTGAGGACATAAAGGCGGCCGTGCGTGGTGCTGGCCATGCAACCCATCTTGTGCTGTGCCGGCCTTCATAGGTGCTTGCTAACAGCGCTTGCCCCAACAGTCTGTTAAGGCTACACGGGGGATCTTTGTCCATAGACTGTGGTACTGTGTGGTATCATGTGTTTATCTGTTGTAGATTGGTGGCTGTAATACATCTACATATACAAAAACAAATAGGGGCTCCTGCAGAGATAATCTTGCCAAGGGCCATTTCTGAAAATTCCCCTCAATGTTTTAGTCCGAACAGTCCGGGTTTGTCGATGAAATATTAACTTGACGCTGTCGCACAAAGCCAGCCGCTGCGACGCTGCTATATATCAATCCGTTGGTGCTAGTTTTTATTTTATTAAAATGTGCTCTCCCGGATCACGGTTCGAGAAAGAGTCTGGCTTTGTTGTCTTCACGGTCGGATTGACATGAGTGGTTGAGCCAAGTAAGGCTGTTGGTATTCCCGTGGAATACGTTTCAGGAGGAGAAGTTCGTGGTGGAATTACAAGGAATAGGAGGGCGTGGAGAGCTCATCACTGTGCTGTGAACCCATCAATCTGAGTTCGAGTCCTGGCCACGGCTCACCTCGTGTGTGTGTGTGTTGAACTTACTAATCGGAGGTGCGGGGGAAGGACATCGGTGATTAACGAGATCTACAGCGCTCCTGCACACCCCTTTCCCCGATCTGCGCTGACCAGCGTGGTGAAGTATGGTCAAGCAACCTCCGTGACTGATCGTCAACGGCATGGGGGCGGCCTTCATTCAGCAGTGGCTTAACACAGAGCTGTATATTAACAAAAACAACTACATCATTAACTTCCCTTCACTTCCATCCAGTGGCCTCACGCCGTTTGGCTACGTACGGTGCAAAAGAAGTTCAGCATACATCCACAACTTAATCTCTCCAGAGCCGTTATCACCTTCCTACATCGTCTGCGGCCGGGCAAGGCGGGGGGGACAGAAGTACGAGTTGGATCCTTTACTTTAGAGAGTTTAGTGATCGCTTCTGGTGACATAATTCATAGAAAAGCACGACAATAATAACGGGGATGTCGACAATGGACCATCAACACAGTTTTACATCACGGTTAATGAATAACCTTCCACGCCGACTCTGCCATGTTCATGAGGCCGTCGTACCAAAGTGCATTTTTGTGCCATCAAATCATTTTAGATGTTGCTGTTTGTGTGCTCAGTGGCACCCAAGATGGAAACGTATCGTAAATGTTCTTAAATTAATAGGCGTCTTACCTATCTTCCAGTCTGCCGAAAATATATCCAGCTTTAGCTGCTCAATATTTCAAACAAACATTTATTTGAAATGTACTTTACTGCTGTACAGCTGCGTGACTAAGTTACTCAACATAAGCACGAATACATTGCGATTCAAATAAGCCAACGCATTTCTCTTTCCCCTTCACGGAAACCCCATTGTGTGTAACTGCTCATCAATCTCACGATGATCTTCATCGGAGCCAGGTGTCTCCTCCGTGTCTGTGGCCACTCGGATCTTGGCGAAATGTAACCTCGTCTCCCGGCACCAAGAATGGACAACATCTGATCTCATGCAGAGCAGCGCTGGCGAGCACCTTTCCTCGATACCCTTGCTGTGATGTGACCTCTACAATTCCGGATTATCCTAGTAGCAAAAGTAGCTACAAATGATACGGGCCCCGCACTTTCAAGGGCCTCGCGCTAAATGCTTTCAAGCTATTAATTCCGGTTCAGTGATTCTGCACTTGCTCTATTACTATAGTACTATACCGCCTTCAACTTTTATGAACGACTGGGTGTTTACGGTTAGCGATTTGTCGTGCTATCTGGCTGTATGGCAAATGAACAAATACGATTACTTTATTGTGCAAGTTAAAAATTTACGTGTTTTAATTTTTGTTTCATTTAGGGCCCCTTTATAACATATGTTACAGGCCCCGCACTAGCTGCATCCGGCACTGGACGTGTAACATTTTCGCCCCTAACTACTACCTGCGATTGGTTAAGGATCCATCACTAAGAAGTCCTTGTCATTGGTTAAGGATCCATCACTAAGAAGTCCTTGTCATTGGTTAAGGATCCATCACTAAGAAGTCCTTGTCATTGGTTAAGGATCAATCACTAAGAAGTCCTTGTCATTGGTTAAGGATCCATCACTAAGAAGTCCTTGTCATTGGTTAAGGATCCATCACTAAGAAGTCCTTGTCCCCCGACAGGAAATCAGCTCCTCGTGCGCAGGAGCTGCAGGTGGATGTTTTTTTTTTAGCATCCGTAAGACGTTAGAGAGACGGTGGTGGTTTTGGGGCAGCCTTCATGCAGCAGTGGATCCCTCTGTGCCTGGCTATAACCTGTAGCTATTCCGGCTGGACCAGTTCCCCAAACCAGCCCAAGCCTGCCTCCGTCTCCGCAGCGTCAACAGGGAGCTCACCCAGTTGGGCTTCTCTCGGCAGTTTTCGCTCATTCATCGTAGTGTCCTCTCTTTTAAAATTATTCCAAACGGTGTCCTTAATTTACGTGATTTTTAAACGGTGAATTGCTCACTGGATGTGCTGCTATAGGCTCTCTGAATTTTTTTTAAAAAAACCCAGGATGTTTGGCCGAAGCGATGACAACAAGGAGCTTCTGAAGCCTGCACAAGTAGCCATCCTCACGACTAACCTCGCTCATGTCCCGTCACATCCGATGAGCACGGTGCGAAATAAGTTCAACATACGTCCATTTCAACGTCAATGCAAGCAAGGTACCGTTGCTGAACACAGTGTCTTGATCAGTGGCGTATTTACGCACGTGCAGCAGCAGCAACAACGAGTGTGTGTGAGACATGTTGTTGATTGTTAAACTTCCAGTGGGAGTTTTTTTTTTTTGGGGGGGGGGGGTACCCACATCATGCCTTGAAACCT